TTTTAAAAATCATATACTATTAAAACAAACATAATTAAATTCATTAGATGGGAATATGATCAATATGGTCTAGAAATTAAATAAATATTTGTTGGGACACTCCACCTTCAACTGTGGATTACAGTCCACACTTGTTTTATCAAACTGACTTCGTATTTCTCATGACCAACAGTATATGCAGGGGCTCATTAGTGGGTCACCAAAGTCTGGCCGATGAGCCAAAGGATCGTAATTCCATTTTGTGGACTTCAGGTTCTCCCCTAAAGGCATACCAATGTCACCTAGACTTAATGCGACTATAGTTTTTATGGTGCATAAGGGTATCTCTTGCATATGTATAAGCTTTACCTCACTTTTCCGAAATGACTATCATATATGCATGTCGTGTGATGTCTCGAGGATGAGGCTTTGACCCTCGTCTTTGAAGGCCACTATTACACAGAAGGGTCACACAGTCTCTCAGCTCACTCATCCGGACGTACTTCGACCTCATCAAGAGATGACCTATTAGAACTCTTATCGAATAGTTTTGTATACCCTGGTAATATAGGTTTTTCCCAAACGACTGGCCTAACTTGTCAAGCTCAATCTGGTATCAGCAAACATCGTTTGTTTAATATGGTCCTCACATGACCACACTCCCACTGAGTTCATATTCCATTATATCAATATGTTTATTACAAGCACTCATAAGGCCTTTAATGGCTACACTCACCCAACACAATTATCATTAAATTGATCATCTCGACATCAAGATGCATGGGCATGAAAAATAAATAAATTTCTAGTTTTTAAAAATAATGCATCTTGTAACGTATTTTTGGACCATCAATTTTCAAGATCTTCAAGTTTTCATAGATCTGCACAATCTACACTATTTTTTAAGCTTTAAATTTTCTAACTAAAGATGAAAATAATTTAAGACTATCATAAAACTTTCCAGTATTGAAACCATATTTCTCGACGCTATTTGAAGGTGGGCTCTAATTTAATTGTTTAGAGCCTCGACTCTATACAAACCGCACCAAAAATATGTAATAGGAAAAGAAAGGAACAAACTCAGGAAAAGTTAACAACACATAAGTCAACATGGGATTTGAACAAATAAAAATATCCATCAGAAAAATAAGTCTTTTAATGAAGGTTGAAAGAGAGAATTGAGGAGCTCTTTACCCACGAGAGCATCTATTTAAATGAATGTTGAGACAGAGCATCCACCCGTGGGCGAGAAAAGATTACATTTTAAAGGGAGAGAGAATGAATTCTCCATCCTATAGGAGAGAGAGAAGATGAGACATGCAATCCGTTGAGAAGGGGAGAGAATTCATGACCATGCACGATATGCGTAAGGTTACGGTATTATTTGAATTTGAGTGAGACAAAGTGAGACCGATATCACTTTGTATCAAAGGTAAATGGTCTTTTTGTTGACAATCCCTTATAATATAAATTTGAAACTATCTACTATTTCCTTAACGGAATTTAAAGCTAAGATCCAAAATTATTTACTATTTTGAATCCATGGCCATGCATAATCTTGTGGTGGGATTGTATGCAAAGAAATTATTTGCCTTTTGTACAAGGAGATCATAACTACTCTTAATCATTAGAGCATTAGATGTTAAATTGGATGGCTTCGGGTGAGTTACGAAGTCAGAGAGACCATTTACTGTTTCTACAAGGAGATCACAACTATTTTCAATCATTAGATCTCAAATTGGATGGCTTGAGGTGAGTCACCAAGTCCAAAAAAAATTTTTTAGAACTTTGTGTCTAATCAATGATACTCTAACAACCGTCCATTTTGAAATCTAAGAAACAATAATGATTGTAACCTCCTTGTACAAAAGGTAAATAATGTCTTTGTAAAAAATCCCTTGTAATATAAATCTAAGATCTATTTCTTCCCCACTCATACCAACGCATGGAGTTATTTACTTATATGTAAATATTATTATAAAAATGAGAAAAAATAAAAATACATAAAACTTGTTGCACGATAAATAACCCATAATAATTAGATATGTATTGCAATTAAAACTAAGATTAATGTTGTTATACGTAAAAATTTAAATTATTTAATTACAAAAGCCCAAAACGAAGAAACATAAAAATTGATCGGTTAATATGCAATGAATAAATATATTAAATGAAAAATATGAAAATTATAATGCATTTCACATAATTTAAAAATAATAAGTTTTGTCTCAAATAAAAATAAAAAGCATGAAAGACTTGTAGTAGAGAGAGAGACTTGATGAGAGAGAATGAAAGGCTCACTCACATCCGTAGATTAGAAAGTGCTAACTTAGAGCAAAGGGTATGTTGAATAACGTCTTTAGTTTTGTATTCCCCAAGTTTGGTGTGATCCAATAACACCAGTTCAACCATAGCACACTAAAAATCCTTGCTTCATTATCTAGGTACCCTGGTATATACCCAAAAAAGAATGAGAGAGCTATCAACCAACATATTATACATTATGGGAAAATAAATTAATAAAAAATTGAATGTAAAGTAAGATAACAAGTAAACTAAAAATCCTTCCTTTATTATCTAGGTACTCTAGCATATACCCGAAAAAAGAAGGGAAAAGTTTATATAGAGCTGGGGCTCTAAACAATCCAATTTGAGCCTACCTTAAAAACTTCATTAGAAGTGGTTGTTTTGATGCTCAAATATCTTCAAATTGATCATCTCGACATCAAGATGTACGGACATCAGAAAAAAATGGATTGCAAGTTTTGAAAATAGTATATTTTGTAATGCATTTTTGAACTGTCAATTTTTAAAATATTCAAGTTTTTATAGATATATCGATCTACACTATTTTTGAAGCTTTAAACTTTATAAATAAATATAGAAATATATTTTGAGGCTATCACTATTGAAACTACATTTCAATATTGAATTAGATCATTGCTCTTTTCAATATTGAAACTACATTTCTCGACACTATTTGAAGGTAGGCTCTAATTTGATTGTTTAGAGCCTAGGCTCTGTACAAACCGCACCCAAAAAAGAATGAGAGAGCTATCAACCAATATATTATACATTCTGAGAAAATAAATAAATAAAAAATTGAATGTAAAGTAAGATAACTAGTACACTAAAAATCCTTGCTTCATTATCTAGGTACTCTAGTGTATACCCAAAAAAAGAATGAGAGAGCTATCAACCAATATATTATACATTATGGGAAAATAAGTTAATAAAGCTTAGTGTTAGTGTAATAAGAAATAAAAAATAAGTCAATAAAGCTTATTGGTTGATTGAACAAATAAAAAATGTAATATGAAAAGAAAGGAACAAACTCAGGAAAAGCTAACAACACATCAGTCAACATGGGATTTGAACAAATAAAAATAGAGTGATTTATGTAGAGATCTTAAAATATTAGGTAAAATACAAAATGCTCAATTTATATGTAGAAATTACAAAGAAAGTCAGTCAACCTGTTTTTTTTATTTTTATTTGTTTCTAAAAAAATTAAAATTTGGGTTGACTGGAGGACAATTTTGAAACAAATAAAAAAAATGAGTTGACCTACCTTTTTTATAATTTTCGCTTATAAACATATCATTTTGTATTTTACCTAAAATTTTAAAATCCATACATAAATCACTCTTAAAAATATGTATCTGAATAATATAAAAAGGAAACTCACCACGGGAGCTAAAAGGCTTGGTGGCCTTATTCTTGTTGGCCCATCTTGGCCTCCTCGATTAAGAGAAGCAACTCTTTTCCAAGGGTGAGTCGTTTTGGAAGGCAAAGTGAGAAAGAGAGAATATCTACCTATGAGAGACATAAGTCTTTTAATGAAGGTTGAGAAAGAGGATTGTGGAGCACTTTACCACCAATAAGAGAGAGAACATCCATTTAAATGAATGTTGAGAGGGCATCCACCCATGGGCTAAAAAAGAATACATTTTAGAGAGAGAGAATGAATTCTCCATCCTAAAGGAGAGAGAAAGATGAGAGAGACATAATCGGTAGTTCATGGCCATGCGCGATACAACGAAGGTTACCACAACAAAAGAAGAAAAAGGGTACGATTTTACTTAGAGAGAGACCAAGTGGGAAGGGATTGTGGTGGTAGCACCCCACATTGTGGTCACCACAGAGTGGTTTTCATTTTCATAGCTAACACCACCTCATTAGTACTTTCAAAAAGTTAACTCCTAATCTACTTAAAAAAATGATAGGAATACATTTTTCCCATTGAATTACCCAAAAAAAGAAAAAAAAAAAAGAAAAAAACCAAGTGAGACAGAGTTAAAATCCAATGTTGAGCGAGTATTTTCATGAATACCCTAAAAGATAGGGAAAATAAAAGTGGGATGTGACCATTCGAATGGCCAAAAAAGTTCTCGTTGTGGGAGTATCTACACAAAGGGATCATTTACTTTTTGTACAAGGATATCACAACTATTCTCACTCATTAGATGAAGGTTAGGGGTGAATCACGAAGTCCAAGAATATTTTTTTGAAACTTTGTGTCTAATCAATGATACTCTTACAATCACATATTTTAAAATTTAAAAGATACGAATGATTGCGATCTCTTTATACAATAGGTAAATGGTCTCTTTATAGCCAATCCCTTGTAATATAATACAAATCTACGATCCCTTTCTTCCCCTTTATCATAGTTAATTCGCAGGATTCAATCTGTGTATGACAACCACTGTATCTACTGGTCATGCTATACACTTAAAGATCCAACTATTCGTTTCTGCAATTAGTGTTCAAACTCCAACTACTCTATCTCATAGCATCTTGAGTTTGAAAGAGACTGTGAAAGGAAAGTATATATTGCATATCCGGTTAATATAGAAGATATATATTGTAATCAGTAAATATGGGAATGGAGGATATTGTCTTGCATTTTATGGTAAGTCGAAATATGGTTTAGGTGTCTATGATTCAGTTTTTATTAGTATCATCTGTAATTTGTCTATAAAAGATAAGTCTCTATATTCATATCAATTAATGGATACAAGGAGAAAGTTGAGACTCTTCGCAGCTGTTATAGAATTGCATTCTCGAGAGCATTTCTTGGAACTACAAAGAAGTGATTAGTGTTAGTGTTAGAGTGAGAGAGATATAACTTTGAATGGCACTATTCCTCTTTCGATGAGCTCGGTGCAGTGCAAGAAACCCCATAAAGAACAACCACTTACCGCCACCAAACAAATCCATGAGATCCCCAGCTCTTCTGCAACCATCTGCGTAAACTCAACGTCGGAAATTATGCATGTAAGCCGAGGGACTTGTATGGAATCATTGAGTTTTGAAACCAAATCCCTGAAAGGACTCAAGAGATACTTCATTGTTGCATCAAAAAAGCTTACAGGATCTCGGTTACGGCCATCGTCCGGTGGGAAGCCACCAGGTATCCATTCCAACTTAAAATCCTCTAAATACTTCAATTCCATGGCTCCTCCTGATCTAGTAAGACGGTCATGGTTAAATTCAGTGTTCACAAAAGTAATGTAAAAGCCTCTTGCATGGAGAAGCTTGGCAAGGTGCATCATGGAGTTAATATGGCCTTGAGCGGGAATCGGAAAACACAGGGCGTGAGGTTTCTCTACCCTTGTAGACTCCATAGTCTCTCCCTCTCTATAGCAATGAGATGTATTGCTCTGCCTTATACATGGGCCTTGCCTTCAATTTATAGAAAGTCCTGGAGGCCAAGGGACATTAGGTACCTTGGGACCTAAGTCCAAGTTTGCAACAAATGATGATGATGGTAATCAATTAGGGCAAAATCAAAACAAAACTAGTTGGTGTTTGGAGACTAAAAGTAAGAAGCAAGAAATTATCCAATTTTAAAATCTAGATGACAAATATATGATTTACCAGAGTATCAATTGATGTGTTTGATTGAAGTTGGAATTTTGTGACTGGAGAATCTTTAAATTTGTCAATTTTAACTATTCATTGAGGCTTTCATAATGAGATATCATTGCTCATCTATGTTGATTCTAACAAAATGGACTAGATCACATAAATAAATAAATAAAAACTTTTTGAATGACTTGCGAGCATGTTAGACCCTTATTTTTTCTCTAGTGTAAAAGAATTTGATTCGGAACAGTTAATTGGATATAGGGCGGGAAGAGGTTCAACCGGCCTAATCGGTAAATCGACCTGTTCAACCAGTCTAACCGAATAAGTCCTGAGCAATAAAAAAAGTGTTAAAAAATTAAAAAATAAAAACTAAATTCTAATAAAATGTGAAAAATATGTCTAAAGATCTAAATTAAGTTGAAAATTCATGAAAAAAATGGATTTTAAAGAATTGATTTGTGCCCAAAGGTATTATTAATTTTTTTTTAAAAAAAGATGGAAAAATGTAAAGATAAGTATTAATAGTCAAAACAAGTTCCAAGCTTTACCAAAATAATGAAAAACATTAAAAAATACATTACAAACAAAATCTCTTATTTTTTTAGATTTTATATAAAGTTTATTTATTTTATTTTTTAAATACTTGGCTGGTTTGCCAAAACCGACTGAAACTGAAAAAAGCCAGTGTTCGGTTTCGATTTAACTGGGCGGTTATGATTGGAACCCCCGATTTTTGGTACATTCTACGGCATTGAGTTATAATTTTAGAGGTCTCTACACTGCCTACCCTCATGCACCTAAAAATAGAAAAAGCAATTTAGAGAATTGGAATGATCCAAATACCCACATGGACCCAACGTGTCAGAGATATGTATTTTATTTCTTTTATAGAGTGAATAATTTAGGTGTCTACGTGTCATACTGCTAAAAGGATTAAAATATATCTATAATACGTAATGGGTGAGGTTTATATAGAGCCAAGGCTCTAAACAATCAAAATTGGAGCCCACCTTCAAATGTGGTTTCATTTCGGGAAATCTTTGTGATCGCCTTAAAGTATATTTTCTTCTCTAATTATAAAATTTAAAGTCTCAAAAATAATGTAGATCAAGCAGATCTATGAAAACTTGAAAATCTTGAAAATTGACGGTTCAAAATACCTTGCAAGATGCATTATTTTCATACCTTGAAATCCATTTTTTTCTCATTTTCATGCATCTTGATGTTGAGATGATCAATTTGAGGATATTTGTGCATCAAAATAATATCTTCTAATGAATTTTTTGAAGTGGGCTTTAATTTGATTGTTTAGAGCCTTGGCTCGCTTAAAACTTTTTCCATATGTAAAACATCCCTAAAATTCAATACTATAGTCTACAGAAAACGATAATGATTTGAAATGTGAAATCTTGATCTGGCAGTCTAAAGCATATCCACCGTAAACGATAATGACCTCAAATGTCAAATCTTGATCTGGCAGTCTAAAGCATATTTAAGTATTTTTGAGCATCAATATCTAAATCATGTGCACCTAGAAAATAATAAAAATTGATTTATCGAAAATTAAGTGATTAAAATGCTCTTGAAACTTTGAGATACCTATACTTTTCAAATTTTATTTTGATCCGATTTTGAAAAAATTAAATAAAAAACATCTCACATTTTCAAAATGACAAAATGTTCTAAAAATGGAGAAATCCAAAAAAACGAATTAGCTAAAAGTCAAGGGTGAAAGACTGCATTTCTTATATATGAGAAATGCGCTCTTCCTCGTGATGTATTATTTTAAGTTGCTAAACTAGGAATTACTACAGTGTAAGTGGAAATTTTGGCTTCTAATACCAAAATTTCATGTTGCCATACCGTCCTTTAAACATATTCCATGTTTCAAATATTTGTATCGGAACAAAGGTAACCTTTATCGCCTGTATTGATCCTTAATTGCCGCATATTGTTGTTTTTTGGTTTTCTGTAGCCATTAGATGTCTTATGAGAGCATGTAAACAATATCTAATATAATGGAACAAAGAACTCCAATGGGAGAATCATCTTGAGGGACCAAAATATTGTGGTCCAAGGGACCATAAGATTATGGTCCAGAAGGATTGAGATAGGCAAATGTTATGTGCCGATACTCAGACTTGGCTGACATGCTCGGCCAATCAAATTGGAAATCTCCTATTACCTAGGTATGAAACAAAACCGATGAGGGTTTAAAGGATCATCACTTGATGAGGCTAGAGTTGCCTAGAAGAGTGAGCCAAATGACTATGTGACTATTGCATATAATGGTAAGTGAGTCACCAATATATATATGAGAAATTACCCCTATGCACTATAGAACTGTAGTTGCATCAGGTCTGCATGACATTAGATTCGTCTTTAGGAGAAAACCTGTAATCCATATATTGGGAATATGTCCTTTCGTCTATTTTTAAGTTTGGTATTCTAAGTTTGGTAGCTCAATCATAAACCCCTGTAGTAGTCTATGATTTATGGGAATTTCTCAGTTAGTTTGAGAAAACAAGTGTGGATTATAGTCTACAATTGAAGATGGAGTGCTTCAGCGATATTATAATTACTAGACCTAGTTGGATCCGATTTCCATCAAAGTTATTTTGATTATTTTGATGTTAAATGAGTTTTAGATTGATTATTTGAATTTTTGAGTATCTGGATATTTTATTTTCATAAAATGAGTTTATAAATTAAGAGTTTTCAATATTTTAATATTCGGAGAAAATTTTCTTTATTTGCAATATTTTAAAAATCATTTTAATAATTTTATTATTCATAAATATTTGAGAGGGCCCATGGGAACCAATCATGTCCATCATTATGAAGTGTGTTGGGCCCACATAGGAGCCACATGGGTAGCACGCCCCAGTTAGTGAGGGTACTTTCTTATTTTCTAGCCTTGTGAATCAAGATAATCAATCAAGTTGAAAATTTATGGAAAGTGTTTTGCAAAAGTTTTGATTGAAACAAGAATGGAAGCTTTTGAAATTAAAGCGATTTGATTTCAATCAAAAGGTATGTATAAGAAGATTATAGAAAATAAAAGTAAATATGATATTATTTTTTATATTTTATTATTTGATAGGATTAGGTTTAGGAAGCTGAAAGATAAGATTCTAACACTTTTTTTTGAATTATGATGGCTGATTTAAGGATTGTATGACTTCGATCTTTCACCCTACAAATCTCCTATGATCAATGGTCGGAATCTAATCTCACTAAAGATTGTTAACCCTAAGGAATACTTAATCCTAGAGAAAGCTTATAAATAGGAGCTCAATCTATACAATTTCTTTACACCTGGCATCTCTGTCTAGGTGGCATGCTACCATCTCTCATCTCATCTAAGATCTCTCTTTCATCTCCCCCTTCACTTGTTTAGATATAGTACGAGGGAGCGCATGCCCCAAGCTATGTGCAAGAGGGG